TCATCTCGAGACCCAGAAAAGCTGCAAAGCTGAAACTTTGGGAACTTAATCTACATGAACATAGGGGCACCCGTCCCCAAAATGGGCACTCTTAGCCATTTGCGCTGGCCAATTATTTTCATCTTACCGTCACTGTCGTAAAATTAGGTGTCAGACTTTTTTTTCCCCGAAGAACCGATGAGTTGTTAATTTCTTCAGGAGAGAGGACGAACACCGAATGGCCAGCAGGCTGACCACTGGTCAAAGTAGTGGTCAGCCTACAATTGCACAGCTAAGAAATTACGGTATAGAGTTGCACCTAGTCAAAATTTCTTAGTATAAAATCTGTCCACTTTTTCCTTTCAGTGCCATGCCTTCGGAATATTACAAGGCTAGCGAGCTCAAGTGCAGTGGCAGCGCAACCTGATGGTCAGTTTTTCTTTTTTTTTTTTTGAAAAAATTTGCTTAAATTTGCCTTAATCGTTCTTTTGGGCTTCTTTAAAGCAAGCTGATGATCAGTTTTTTAAAAAAATTTACTTTAATTTTCCTTAATCTTTCCTTCGGGCAGCAAGCTAATGGTCAGTTTTTTGGAAAAAAAAATCACCCTAATTTATTTTAATCTTTGGGCAGCTCTAATGCAAGCTGATGGCGGCTTTGATTCCTTGGCATTTGACCCTTTCATCGTTGAAACGAATGATTTTGAATCGAGGAAGGTGATGTTTTTCCCATTTTTGATTTACATACTTAACGAAAAAGGAAGAGACCGACGAAAATTCAAAAGGGGCTTAGGTAAAGCTGAGAATGTGAATAAGGTAAAGCTGCATAGGTAAAGCTGAGAGCTATTACTGTATAGAATCCCTTTTTAAGATATTTTATCCGAGCGTTTCGATGAATAAATGGCCAAAACTGGGGTAGATTTTGCGCCACATACACACAGACGCACACACACACACACACACACACACACACACACACACACATACACATACACACACACTCGTTTCCGTGTTTTTTCAGCAAAATCAAAGACTGTCACATCGAAAACTGAAGACAGCAGCAGCATCAGCAAGCC